ATGGGCCCGCGCTCCCTCTCGAAATGCTCTCACATGGGTACGCGTATACAGCCTCTGCCAGGGAAGTCCTACTCACTGTCTTCTCGTGCAGAGGGTGTAGTTTATGAAATTGAGAGGACGTAAAGTGAATTTCTGACACTTTAACCGGATCCCAAACTAATGGTGCACATGGGCTCCAGTATCCTGGAGCAATCGTTGGTCACCGGCTACCATGGGACTGCATCTCGTCACGATGCTCCACTACCTTGTGGGTCAGACCTTTAGATCTAAGGCTCGATGTGTAGTCCCCTAAGAAAACCACCTGCTTCGGTCTGGGCACCCGGGCAGTATCACAGCACACACACACACAAATAAAGTGTGGCACATACATATTTGGTGCCCTCTTGTACCAATATTTATGTGTTCAAATAAATAAATCAATAAGTAGTATATGACATATGAGATAAATTCACATATTTTTCTGACCTTTTCTTCCAAGTCCTAGAATTTCTAGTAGATATTAGATACATTTGATGATCTGTATTGATTCCTCGTTGAAATGTCTTGATTTTGTTACAGATACAGAAGCTTTTCTCTTTACTCCTGTGTCTTTTTTTCTCTCTCCATCAAGTATCTACCATGGATTTAATGAATTACATGTACAGTTACATGGATACATACACATATATACACAAACACCGATAAATTAGAGATATTTTTTATCTTTCAGATAGACTTATGTTCTTATTGAATGAATGATGAACTGATATGTTGTGTGATCATGAGAAAGATATATCATTTGGACAATAGTGTTGGAGTGATTCAGAAGATTTCTTGCAAAAGACAAGCAAAGATCAGGAAAATACTAAGAAGCGTTTCATCCAATCAGCGTTCACTTGAAGTTTTAACCAGAAATATCAAGGGGCAAAACGTCATATGCAGGGGTTCTGAATGGTTGATTGCTATACTACTACTATGTTTAGTAGCATTCCAAAATGTTCTAGCAACCCATGAAGGACATTTAAAATATTATAAAAACCCTATATTTTCTGTATTGAAATGAACCTTGGAGTAAACTACTTCTCGCGTACTTTGAGTCTTCTCTCTCGTTGTCCAGGTCGCTGTATAGCTCTAGCTTGTGGGTTACAGAATAGTTTAAGAGACGAATATAGCTCTCAATCCTCAAGACATATCGAATAATAAGAATTAGGGTGAAAAAACTATAGTTCAATACATCATCTGATAAATGTTCATGAATTGTCTTAGACTTCATCGTTCTCGCATATCTATACCAATTGCTTTCTGCTCTCATTCTTTCTTCTTCTTCTTCTTCTTCTTCTTCTTCTTCTTCTTCTTCTTCTTCTTCTTCTTCTTCTTCTTCTTCTTCTTAGATCTTATCAACATTTTTGCCACCGGACATTTAATTCCTGACTAATGTTATATACTACTTATATTGATATAAGTAACACATAATGTTAATCATTGAGAAACTGTATTGGTTAACTATTTAACATTCAAATTGATATATGTATTGAGTTTGATTCATCAAAGAGTAGTATAAACTTGTTCGTTAACAGTTCCTTTCTTTTGAAGAAATATAGTCAACCAAGTTAGATCCTTCAAAGAAAAAAGGATTTCGATCATTTTATCTATCTCAATGGTTAAGATCATGAGTCAGTTGAAGCTAGACTACCATGGAAAACCTAGAAGCACTAGAAGGCCATTTCATCTTATTGTGGATTAGTTGAAGTTAGACATTAACACCGTTGGATGCCAGCCGGCTCAGTGGTCTAGTGGTTAAGTGTTCACGAGCGGAACCAGTAGGTCCTGGGTTCGAATCTCACAGGGGGCGAGGTTGTGGATGCGCACTGCTGAGGAGTCCCACAATAGTACGAGACGGCCGTCCAGTGCTTTTAGGTTTTCCGTGGTGGTCTAGCTTCAGCTGACTCTTGATTTCAACCTGTGGAATCAAATGATGGTCAAAAACCTAATGCAATTTTGATAGATGCTGATTATTCTAGCGATCTATTATCTACTACTAATGAGATATTCAAAAAATGTGATGTCGTTCATCTTTACTATCTAGTCACTTTTAGTAGATTCTCTATTCAATGCAAGAAATATACTTTAAATAAAGTCATCACATTAATTGTAACTTGGGAATATGAGGATGTAATATTATTTCGTGGGGGGGGATAATTTAAAGTTAGCAACTAAACTTTGAGTCTTCAAAAGATAAAAAAGGGGGGATGATATAATGGGATGAATAGTTAAAATTACATTCTTTTATTCAATATTACTTCCGTTTTTTAATTCAATTTATGGTGATTATTCAATGTAGTGTTTGTTTCTGTTTTCCTGTCTGTAATGTTATTCTGTATAATAGACGATATTCTTGTATTTAATGAATATGAACTATGCTTAGAATGATATATAGCATGTGATTTGTTATAACTATTGACTATTTTATGTGTATGTGATTCTGATGTGAACAGGGAAATCAGGATATCAGGAATAGATCGAGTAGTGTTCCAGTTGTCTTGCCTTCTTTCATTTGCATGCTTGTCATTCAATCAGGTGATAGAATAGTTTTCTTCTCTCTACTCCATTTCGAACTCACGCATACTAGCCTCAAGGTAAGGTCGGTCAGTCTATCGCGCCAAGATCTTAATCTGGATTAGATAGGTATCCTCAGCACCAAAAGTGGGTAGGCAAACCCAAAGGACATAACAGTTTCTGTTCTAATTATTAATCAAAATGTGTATACTAGAGTCATCGTCGTCGTCGTCGTGGTGTTTTGGGGCTAATAAACCTTCATTTGTACCAGTTTTTGTGTTCTAACTTTGGTGTCATTGGAAGTGGTTCCTCGTTTTACAAGTATAAGTAATCAGTGATTCCGACATAACAATTAATGACGACCAGATATAACAATGAGTGTTCAATTATAAGATTTATCATCAGTTCTCACACAAATCGAATATTTTGTATGGTGCATATATATCTGGTGCATCATTGTACAAATGTCATTGACTTAGTTGGCGAGATTATAATTTATAGACGAACCAATCAGGTATAAGATAAAAGGTCTACGATTTGGGCGCAGAGTTCAGTTATCCATTTGACTAAATAAAGTTTTGGCATTATAGTTGTTGTCAATTTGTAATGAAAATCCCTGAAATCTAATTGCTATTCTTATTCATCAACTGTAAATCATAATTCTAATCCCCACACCCTAGTCTTTGTTATGAAATGGACACTCTTTAGGTCAGTTTAGCGTCGCTCAAAAGTTGTCCACAGTTTCACTGACTTAATGACAATTTCTGTAAATATGAATTAACAATACTTGTAAAATCATCTTTTGTGTATAAAAAGTTGGAGTATAAAATTTCAATAATCCCGTAAACCTATGGTCAATAATCGAATAGATTTAAGTTACCATACCAATGAAATAAATATATGATCTCAACAATTCGATTCATGAGTCGATCTAAACTAAACTACCTGTTGTGACGTGTGACTGCAGATTAGAGTCAAGCGTTTTATCAATCGCTTCAGTGACACGGAAAACACGTATGGACGGTCTGGAGTCTCGATTGGTCTCACTTCCCTGTCTAGCTTAGCCAGTTGAGTCCAGAACACAAGTCACAGCCTCTGAGATATGAATCGTTATATTTCAAACATACTCTGTTTATATACCAACCAAACAGACCACATCGTACCATAAAAATAGAAAACAACATTTGTACAATATTTAACAAGTGGATTAAATACTGATTAATAGGGAGTGTACATTTAAAGTCCAAGGCCACCATCAGAATTAACATGATAAATATTGGTATATTTTTCTGCACATCCTAACAAAGGTGACATTGTAGTGTATGCTACTAATACCGATATAAGTAGTATATAACGCTAGTCAAGAATAGAATACCAATGGAAAAAAATATATGATCTTAACAATTAGATTCATGAGTCAATCTAAACTAAACTACCATTTAAAACCTGAAATCATTAGATGGTCGTTTCGTCTCAGTATCAGACTTTTCAGTGATGGTCTAGTTTGGAATGATTTGTGACTTTAACTGTTAAAATACTAAAATATGTGATTGTCTACAAGATCAAAATACATGTTCATTATACATTATACAAAGTGTCAACGTTCAAGTACCAGATACGGTACATCAGTTTATATCAATGACTGATCTCACCTGGAAATCTATTATAAACAGGAGAGGACTATACATATCTCATTCTAATATGACATATCTCAATGCTAGATGTTCATAATCTCATTAAAGATTGAATCTAAAGTATTTAGAACAAGATGGGGAGATATCTTTACAACATAATCATTCAATACTTTCCATTTACAACTTCTATCGATTTATTATCAAGTCATTGTTACCATGGCATTAATTTCTTTGATAAACTGTTATTTTACTAGTTATTTACTCCATGAATTAATCGTTAATAATTCGAAAGAGAAAATGAACTTTGTTTTTATCTCCCATTAAATACAGAGAGAAAAAGGTCACGTCAATTTGACCATGTCAGTAAAATAGCAGAAGAAGAAGAAGAAGAAGAAGAAGAAGAAGAAGAAGAAGAAGAAGAAGGGAGAAGAGAGGTGAATAAAGACAGTTAGTTTATTGATAAAATGAAATGGAATTCAAAGCTGACAGGATTAGTGATCTGATAACGAAACAAAAACTATAGAATAAGATCATGCAGATTGAGATTATTAGAGTTATATATATATACTTGTATCTTCCCATTGTTATTTAGGACTGTAGGTAGATTCAACTGACGAATCTGAAATAGGACGAAACGCATGGATTCCTAAATTCCACTGCTAATCACTATCTATCTTTGTTAATAAAAACTAAATATAACATTTATATATTTACATTTTAGTGGAATATCAATTTAGTTTATCAATTAAGATCATTTTAGTAAGTTACTAGGTTAAGTTCAATGAGGTTGATGATAACAACTTTAGAGTTATAGTGTATTACATATCTAAGATGATGATGATGATACTATCTCTTTCATTACTATTTATCACTGCTTTGGATGATGATGATGATTTGGATGATGATGATGATGATGCTTTGGATGATGTTGATGATGATGATGCTTTTGATGATGATGATCCTTTGGATGATGATGATGATGCTTTGGATGATGTTGATGCTTTGGATGATGATGATGATGATGATGCTTTTGATGATGATGATGCTTTGGATGATGATGATGATGCTTTGGATGTTGATGATGCTTTGGATGATGATGATGATGATGATGCTTTGGATGATGATGATGATGCTTGGATGTTGATGATGAGTGTGAAATAGATTAAGGATACAAGATAAAATATTCTATCAATGTAATGTGTAATTATGAAAGACAGAAGTCTTCAGAAAGTTTGGGCTTGTATGATCGTATGTAGCAAAAATATATTAAAAAAATGTTTTAAGTTGTTTAGGTAATGAATAATGAGTATATAAAAACTCCTGAGAAAATAGATGTGATACTAAAGTGATCTTGTGAATGTCAACCTACTAATCAGGACTAAATGAACGTTTAGTATCAGAAGGGGTATTGTGGAGATTGTAGTAATTTCAATGGTTGAGATCATGAATCAACTGAAGCTAAACCACTATGGAAAACCTGGAAGCACTGGACGGTCGTTTCATCCTGAGTTCGAATCTCACGAGGCGGGATTGTCAATGAGTACCACAGAGGAGTCCCACAGTAGGATGAAATCGCCGTCCAGTGCTTCCGAGTTTTCCTTGGTGGTCTAATTTCAATTGGCTCATGATCTCAACAATTAAAATAACTAAATTCTCCACAAAACCCCCTTCTGATAACAATCTGAAAACATTTATTAATAATATAAAAAGGATTATACATTCTGTAATTTACACTTTGAGGAACCGAAACGTGAAGAACTCCAACAACCATCATAATTAAAGGACAAGAGTTTTCTACACAAGCTACTCAATATCCGTTGATATGATATCATCAGCAATAGCCTACTGTGAGAGAGAACAAACCAGCTTTCAGATGAAGAGGAAATTAGGAGAAGACATTGGAAATGGATAGAACACACATTGAGGAAATCATCAAACTATGTCGCTAGAGAAGTGCTAAATTGAAATCCTGAAGGGAAACGGAAAAGAAGATGGTCAAAGAATATTCTACGTCGAGAATTGGAAGCACACATGAAGAGGATCAATAGCAACTGGAAAGGGCTAGAAAGAATTGCCCAGGTCAGGGTTGGATGGAGAATGCTGATATTCGGCCTATGCTCCTCGGCGAGGTGTTACAAGCGTAAGTAAGTAAGTAAGTAATTTACACTGCTTGTATAATAACTTAATCACGTTACATATTTTTTGATTGGTTAAATGGAATGGAAATTTTTCTTAAGGTCATTCACCAATCACTCAAATTTGTCCTAATTGTCAAACTTTATCAGCAACTGCTTTGAAGCTTATATGACCTTGTGTAATAGTCTAATTCATTAAAATACAGATATATATGGTTAAGACAGCTATAATATGTTTGTTCAGCTCTAAAATCAAATTATTTTTCAAACAGTTTCTGACTAACATATAACAAGTTTCAGTTATTTAGATTAATATCATGAATGCATCAATGTTGGACCACCATTGACAACCTGAAAGCACTGGACGGTTGTTTCGTTCTATTGTGGGACTCCTCAGCAGTGCGCATCCACAATCCCGCTTGCGGGATTCGAACCCAGGGCTTTCGGTCCTGCGTACAAATGCTTAATTTCTAAACTTCAACTAATCCAAGAAATTGTCCGACCATCTCCTATTGTACTGAGTAGATATCTGTCTCTACTCAACATGGTTAATGGGTAAATCTATGGAATGTTTATCTTTTCTTACAAAGATTTTAGTCAACCAGTCACTTAACAGTGATCTTGAGTGCTGGTAGAGGTATGAGGGCGGGACCAGTAGGTCCTGGGTTCGAATCTCGCAGGGGGCGAGGTCATGGGTGCTCACTGCTGAGAAGTCCCACAGTAGGACGAAATGGCCGTTTAGTGCTTCCAGGTTTTCCATAGTGATCTAGCTTCAACTGACTCATGATTTTAACCATTGAAATTAATAAAGATTAGTTAACAATAAACTTATCAGTCAGTTTAGCCGCCTACATGATACTGTAGTGAACGAGAATACAAGTGAGGACAATAAAATATAAAATTACAAAATCTTTTAGTAAAATCTGAGAACCATACAGTAAATAATTCATTTGCAAAATGTCAATCAATCGTCTCAGACTTCATTGTTCCTTTATTTCTACACTGATCATTCATTGTTCTCGTTCTTTTTTCTTTGATCTTCTTAATCTTTTGGTGCCAGACACTTCACTGTCGATTCATGATACATACTACTTATATCGGTCGACATCAGTAGCACACACCACATTACAAATTATGGTGTCAAATGAGATTTTTTCGGGTTTAATTTTTTTAATTATGTAAACACGTGATTTATGGACTGGATTATTGAGAGTGTAATCCTAATCACTGACTTCTCGCAGCATTACTATTGTTTACGAAATTGAAAGGATGAAAACGAATGTCTGGCGTTTAAAATGGGTTGATGATGGATATAGATGATTCACTTAGGGGAGTTGAAATACCCTGATTAGAAACCATTGGTACACATGGGCTCCAGGATCCTGAAACAAAAAATGGCGTATCAATCAATTGTTGACCACCGGCTTCTATAAGACTGCATCTACTTACGTTGCTTCACTTCCTTGTGGATTAGACCTTTTGGTCGAAAGATCCGAGTATGCCACCCTAGTAAAACTACCTGCTTTAATTTGCGCACCCGGTCAGTATCACAGCCCTCACACAAATCAAGTGACTTTTGCATGGCGCATATGTATTCGATGCCACTTTATATCAATATTTATATGTTCAAATACATAAATAACATTCATCAAAATCAATACTATAGAAGATATTCAGCATATATACCATTAGTCGGCATCGTGCATGCATGAAAGGCCTTCAATTTTTTGAATGATCAAGCATATGACTACTATCGATGATAACTGTTTTCTTTTCAATGACTATCATTGTCGTTCAACTACAAGATTGGAAGTTATCCTTATCATATTGATCATAATTGTCTCATTTATTATTATAGAGTAATGAGTCTCTATAGATTAACTAAGTAAATATATATTTATGATGTAAGCAACAAAATAGTCGAATCAAAACAAGTGAAAACATTAAAAAAAATAAACGATAAATAACAATATGGCAACATATTACTTACAATGACCTTGAGAAAACAAATCAATATTACTAGGGTATGTTTATGAGTAAAAGTACTATTATTATCAGAATGGATTTTGTGGAGATTTTTTAGAAATTTCGCTGGTTGAAATCATGAGTCATTTGAAGCTAGACTGACTTTAGGAGACACTCCTGGAATTCTAGTGAGAAGTCGTTTCCAGTGAAGTTCAACCAGGTCTGTTGTGAGATAGGAACTCACTGAAGACAATGGTGTACGGTGGCGCAACTTTGTGGATTGGTTGAAGTTAGAAATTAACACCGTTGGATTACGGCTGGCTCAGTGGTCTAATTGGTTAAGCGCCTAGTGCGAGACTGATAGGTCCTGGGTTCGAATGTCGCGGGGTGCCGGATCGTGAATGCGCACTGCTAAAGAGTCCCATACCAGGACGAAACGGCTGTCCAGTGCTTCCAGGTTTTCCATGGTGGTCTAGCTTCAATTGACTCATGATTTCAACCAGTGGAAAGTACTATTTATGTTTTGAATACACAAGAACAGCTTAAATGTTAACCATTCGCCTTAAAAAATGAATTACTTATACTAATACTAGTACTACTGTGATGTGTGCTACTTATATTGACGTAAGTAGTAGTGAAGGTCTGACAGGAGAGAGACAAGGGGATCGAACAGTAAAGAATGGAAACAGAATACAATTTGTATGAAAATGCAAGAACAATGAAGTCTGAGTCATTATGAGACAACTGATGGACATTTTGCGAATTACGTATTTAGATTTTATTAACAAGTCCTGTAATGTGTCAAATACAATCTATTGTTCCCACTGGTATTCTTGTTCACTTCACTACTACTGTGATGTGTTCTACTGATGTCGACAGAGATATAAGTAGTATGTATCATTAATGAAAATCAAATATTTTGCGGCAGAAAGTTAAGAAGTTCGAAGGGATGAAGATGAGAAGAGAGAATGATTAGTGTAGAAACAAAGTAATAATAAAGTGTGAGACAAATGATGGATATTTTTGCAAATGAAGTATTTATTGTATGATTCTCAGATTTTACTGAGATTCTGTAATTTTATGTTGAAATATATCCTATTGTCCCCATTGGTGTCCTCGTTCATTATACTTCCAAGACTATACACACAGTCAGTATCGCAACTACTCAAATTACTACTAACAATACTACGATCACTCACACCACTGTTGTAGTGTATACTACTTATGCTGACAGATATAAGTAGTACGTAGATGCAGTCGGAAGTGGAATACCTGTCAGCAGAATATTGAATTGAAGAGAACAGGAAGAGGAACAGAGAGCAATTGTAATAACACCAAGACTAGAAGAATCATAAAGCATATACAGGACAATTGAAGGAAGATGTTCAATTATTGTATTTCATGTATGATTTTCATAATTTACTAAGGTACTTTATGATTTTGATTTAACAACGAATACAAAGATTGTTTTCTTGCTTAATCTCATTCGTAATGACCATGTTAAGGAAATGTTAACAGGATAAAAATGACGATGAAACTATGATTTATAGACAACTTTTGAGTGATGCCAAAGTGAATTTGAGAAGGTCTACCTACTTCCTAGGGCTAAATAAGGTTTGTAAAGCAGTTTGAAGAATAAGAATTATGATTCATGTTTGATAGTTAGAGTTAGAAATTAGATTTAGGAGGTTTTTATCACGAACTGACATCAGCTAAAACGCTGTTTGACCAAATGGTTGAGTGAATTTCGGGCCAAAATCCAAAAGCCATTATCTTTATTCTGATTAGTTCGTCCATAAATTAGAGTCTCGTCTATTAAACTACATTGATTTGTATTTTGATCATTGTTTCTTTGTATCTGTTTATATATAGTTGTGTCTTTTAGCTACAACATTCACATGTAAATTGATAAACACAATGGGATATGATGTTACTGTTTATATGATAAGTGGAATTGTTTTACTGAAGCATGAATTTTGTTGTTATTTGTGTTTTCCATGACGTTCTACCAAGAAGCCGTGATCAGTACGGTTCAATCTTTGCCACGCACAGACAGGTATC